CTGTGACCCTGGGAGGTAAGTAGGGCAGTGCTCTTGCTGCTCCGAGAGGTTGAATGACTTGCACAAGGTCCCTCAGCTACTTAACAGCCCAGGCAGGAGCTGAGGTATGAACCCATGGACAGGGACTCTTAGGGAAATTCGACAGCACAAGCACAAAACACTCCAGTCAGGAGGCATCTGAAGACTGTAATATGATGACACCAGGGACTCTCTCATAAGTTCAGATTTGAAAAACAAAACCTAAGAAAAAAGCTGTTTTATATGTAAATAGGCAAAGCCCAACACTGAGGAAGCCCCTAGGGAAGAATACAAAGATGCTGGCCTTTTAGGAAAAGCCAAAGCTTGGGAAAAATGTAGAGGCAAACTAAAAGCATTTTTAGTTATGCTGATAGCATGATTCCCTGTCTTTTCAATGCCCTCCCCCCAAAAGCCCAAAAATAACAAAATCAAGGGAGAAAGAACAATGACAGCAATGAACTCCATCCAGGACTAAGTCTGCAGTTCGGGGGAAGGTGACCTGGGGAAGACAGCTCAGGAGGTAGGCAAGAGTCCTTGGCTCAGCATGGGGCATACTGGCTTGACCTGGCTTTAGCCAGGTGGGTAACTTACAACCAGCCACCAGTCTCCCCGACCCTTCATGTTCCAGATGCCCAAGGTTTTGGATTAGCTCAGCTCAGTATTTACCACACTTCCTTTATTCTCTTGCCCTGGTGACTTTGCCATATCCACGTACTACCTGCATCATTAAAGGTTATGAGCCTGAGGTTTGTTCCTGCTTGGATAGAAAGGGAGATTAGCAAGGACTAGAGATGTTAAACTGTCCAAGCATCAATTTAAGACTTTGTCTTTGGTTTCCTCAGAAAAACTGAAAGACAACTGCAGGAGGAAAAGCTTGAAAAATAATTCCATGACCATATACTATCTGAATTGCTTCAGGAATCATTTGAGTAATTTTTGAGACTTGGTGGAACCCCTAATTCTAAGTGGGCAGTGGTGTACGTGGCATCCTTAGACTTTTCATATCTGGATTTCCTAGGTTCCTTCGGTGGTTTCTCACCTGTGCCAGTGGCCCAAGTCCTCAGGTTCCTCTTGTTTTCTCTTCACTGAACCAACTCTGGCGCTCGTTACAGGACTTTAGGGAGTAGTGCCCAACTGGGGGCCACGGTTGCCTGTAATACCTCCCACTGTCCAGCACCAGGATCCACTGTGCTCAGGTTTCCTTCACTCTCACACGCTTGCTGGGCACGCACTCCTCTCTGCTTTGTTCCTCTGGGGAGGAACACAATCTAAATTCCTCCCGTGGATCACAGCACTGCCCACCAGCCAGACTTGTGGGAAATGGAGAATCCCTGACATCAGGCCACAGGGTCATACATGATGTGGTCCTTTTCACATCTCTGATGCTTTTTAATAAATACAGTTTATTTCTTCCATAATAGTAGTGCGTGCTCATTGCAAAAAATCTGATTCTCAAGTAGAAATACAGAAGGAACTAAACAAATCATCCATTGTTCCACCACCCAAAGATAGCATCATTTGTATTTTATTTTCTTCTTCTCTTATTGCTGTTTTAAAAACCATAGCTTGTAAAAGATTATCTGTACAATTCTGTCTTCTGCTTTCTCCCACACATGAAATAATCATAAACCTTATTCTACATAGCTGCATTTTGGTTCTAATTTTCTGCTTGTACAAATAATGTTATTAATGACAGTACTTCTGAAAGAGCACCATTTCCTTAGGAGAGAGCCAAGAAGCGACTCTCCTGAGTATCATACCCATTTGCAGTGTTTGAATGGAACTATTTTGCTTCACTCTTAGTAGCAACATGTACTCATTAAAAAATCAAAATTGAAATCTTTGCTAATTTACAAGACAAACACAGCTATCTAGTTGCTTGAATTTTCACTTCGGTTTTTCTATGATTACTAGTCAGACTGAAGGCAGTCCATCTGCTTGGAAGCCAGCTTTATTTCTTCTTTAGTGAACTGTTTATCACATCCTTGACTCCCTTTTCCATTGTGCCTTAGGGCTTTTATTATTGATGTGCATGAGCTCTTTATATGTTAAAGATATTAACCATTTTTCCAATATCTTCCACAAACATATTTCTCCCAGTTGGTTTTAAAAATCTAGATTCATTAGAGGTTTCCCAGGTAGCCACATTGATTCTTTCAGATGCTCCATTTTCTTCCTCCTTGGAATTATATATCCTTTTTATTGCTATAATTTCATTTTAGAACCTCTTATTCCTCCTGGGCTATGCTTTCTTTTATAGTTTGCAGCCATGGGACGATGATAATTCCACTTTCAGCTTTCCTTTCCAGAATGCAGGTCTGTTCTCATCCTCCATGCTCCTCCTTTGTGCACACTCACACCTCACCTCAGGCCCAGGACCTCAGGTGGGGTTCGGGCTTTTCCACTTTCTGCTAATGGCTGAACCAGGAGGTCAGTCACAGTTGGTTTACTCCATCGATGAGTTCATAGTTTCTGAAAGGGTCTCAAGGTGAAAAGTTCATTCTGGGTTTTCACAGAACAGTGTGTCATCTCATAGAACAAAACCTCTATTCATGGAAGGCATGGGGTTTCTAGAATAATAATAATAATGATGATAATAATGACCACAGTAATAACAGTGAATATTTAATGATCCTTTCAACTATGTTAGTCGTTGTTCTCAGTGTTTCACATGAATCACTTGGTTCAGTTTCTACCAGTCCTATGGGGTGGTCCTATTATTATTCCATTTTCAGATAGGAAAAGTAAGGTACAGAGCGATTAAGTAATTTGCCCAACTGCATAATCAAACTGGGAGACGCACACATAGTGTATGTTACTACAAGAACAGGTGCGTGTTGAAGGCAGATGGAATTTCCTGTGGGGAGTGAAAAAGGAAGAAGGAAATGGGAAGTGTCAGGAAACGAGAAGGCAGCCAGTGCTGGCCTGGAGCTGAGCCTGTGTGAGTACTCCATGTTCTGTGGTACTCAGTGCCCGGTCTCTTGATTTCTGTTGGGTTTATTCTGTGGAACTCACCTTAAACAGGAATCACAACTATTGTCAGGAGTCCCAGGACACTGAGCAGATTGAATCTGACACCCGCCTCTCTTGCAAGTGTTGGGCTGCCCAAGTCCCACAGTAGACAGGGAACAATCACAGTGGCAACAATTAAATTGTAATGAACCCTGGGCCAAGGATTTAGCTCAGTGGTTCTGCCGCCTGCCTCGCAAGTGCAAGGACCCGAGTTCAATCCCCAGTACCAAAAAAAAAAAAAAAAAAAAAAAAAAA